AATGGCTATTATCAAGAAAACAACAAAAAATGCTGGCCAAGAGGGAACCCTTATATGCTATTGATGGGAATGTTAAATTAGTACAGCCACTATGGAAAACAGTTTGGGGTTCCTCAAAAAACTAAAAGTAGATCTACTATATGATCAAGCCAACCTGGTCATACAGAAGGAATCGAGTTGGTATAAAGAAAAGAGACCCACCCAAAAAGAGGCCCTTATTTATTGTGGCACTATTGGCACTATAGCCAAGTAGTGGAGTTAGTCTAGATGCCCATCAACAGATGAACAGATAAAGAAAATGCTACATATATACACAATGGAGTACTATTCAGCCATAAAAATAATCTAAATTTTATCATTTACAGGAAAATGAATGAACCTGGAAATCATCACTTAAACTAAATAAACCAAACCCAGAAAGAGAACAATTATATTTTTTTTTTCTTATGTGAAATCTTAACAAGAAAAAGATAGCATAATAGTAGAAGAGGGATTTTTAAGGAAGGGGACTGGGAAAGGGCCAGTAGAGACATATAATCAAAGCACATTATATGCATGCATGGAAACGTCAGGGTCAAACCCATTAATTTATACAATTAATATGCACTAAAAATTAAACTTTAAAAATTTTAAATTAAAAAAAAAAGCAATCAAGTTTCTTAGGTACTTATTACATTACACAACTAAGCATCCCTTACCCCCACCAAATATAGCACTATAAAAATTCCTGCCTGTTTGCTAAAAGCCTCTACTTGCTTGAGAAATATCCTTTTGTGATTTGGAGACAAAGCTTATGTTACTGATGAGATTAAAAACAGATTTCATTATAAAAGTTTATGATGTTCCAGTCTGTTCAGTGTGTACAGTTGGAAGAACACTTTGCCTATCCGAAGTCCCTTATTTGATCTTCTCTTGCCCACTCTCCTGCCCGCTGTACATCCGTAAACCCCTGCCTCTGTTCATATAGCTGAGAACCTGTCCATGATCATCCTCAACCCGGGGGACCTAGTTACAGGCTCCCATTTCTAATTTGTACTGTGAAGGCATTGAAGTAAATGCCTCCTGGGAATGTTTCTTATTAAAACTTTTTTTTTTTTTTTTCCCAATCCAGCTGCCCTGTGCGATGGATTCTGATATAAGCCTTATAGCTGCATACCTCCTCTGCATCTGGTCACTGAGTTGCGATTGCTACTCTGGCTAGCAGCCTCTATAACCAGCAAGCCAGGCATGGAAGCACAATCACTGTTGATGAAGTTTCTGACCTTTGGTCCAGTGATTAAAAATAACAGTTTCAGTCTAGTCGCAGAATAGTACCTACCCTAATTGGCACAGCAGTCTGAAAATTATTCGGCCAAGGAGGGTTCTGCCTTTTCACCTGTTTCCTGCATTTGTGCTTTATTTGTTCATTGGCCTGCTCATGCCTTCCAGCTTTTCTTCATCCACGCCCCTCCTCTGCTTACAGCTCACACAGAGCTTTTTGCTATTCAGTCTGCTTTTTCTTTTTTTTTAATATTAGTTGTAGATGGACACAATATCTTTATTTTATTTGTTTATTTTTATGTGGTGCTGAGGATCAAACCCAGGTCCTCACACATGCGAGGCAAGTGCTCTACCACCAAGCCCCAGCCCCAGCCCCTCAGTCTGCTTCTTTTAACTTCAGTAACTTCTGTTCCTTCAGAAATGAGAAAAGAGGTAATAGGTTCCTCTGGCTCCTCCCTTCCTAACCATGTTTCACTCCCACTCGACACTCTACATGGTGAAGGTTATACTTGATTAATATACTTAGGCGCTTAATTGTGTTCCATCAGTGGTCACCACATTTTTTCATACCTCCAGAAGCCCCTTAGGAAAGGTGACTTCTAGCATGCACATTGAGACACTTCCAGAGCATCACAGAAGATCACATGCCAAATTAATGAATGAAATCTGAGCTTTTTGGTCCTGTTCTCCAAGAAGACTAGCCAATAGTATGTAATTGAGCAACGTAAATGTGGGAGTCAGACTGAGCATCCCATCCCTGAGAAAAGGATGTGACATATCAGAGGTAACATTATATAAACCCTTTCCTGGGTATTTGGAAATCTCTTTGACAGAAGCTGGGAAACCAAAGCACAGACCTGAAATTACCAAGTTAGGAGGAAGGCCACAGGCAGAGAGTAGCACACACTCCTGGGCTCAGCAGATAGACTGGGCTCCTCCCACAGTGCTCTGAGCTGCAGGTCAAGTCTTAGAGAGCTCTGCATGACCTCACCCCAGCGTCGATACACCTCTAGCATCAAAACAATCATTAATGCCAAAGGAGAGAATAAGAAAGGCTTATTTATGTATTTAATGGTGCTGGGAATTGAACCCAGGGCCTGGTGCATGCTAAGCATGCACTGTATCCCTGAGATACACCCAGTCCCAATAATACAACGTTTTAAATCACTAGAAACAATTCTCTCAAATAAGACACACTCTCATTTCTCTAAGCCCAGGTTTGGTCTAAGGTTGTTCATTATGAGAATCTTTATAATGTTTCTTCTCTATATACTTTTCTGGTCACTGTAACTCAAAAAGGAAAAATATATGTGTATATAGAGAGAGTAGTTAAAGTCCAAACATGGGTGTAGTGGCACACACCTGCATCCCAGCAACTTGGGAAGCTGAGGCACAAAAATTGCAAGTTTGAGGCCAGCCTCAGAAACTTAGCAAGGCTCTAAGCAACTTAATGAGACCCCATCCCAAAATTTAAAAAATAAAAAGGACTGGGGATGTGGCTCAGTGGGTAAAGTACCCCTGGGTTCAATCCCAAGTACCAAAAAAGACAGAAACCAAAAGGGGGTCCAGAGAAGAGTAACAAAGTGTTAAGGAGAAGTTTCAACCAAATAGTCATAGGGGCTGGGGATATAGCTCAGTTGGTAGAGTGCTTGCCTCGCATGTACAAAGTCCTATGTTCAATCCCCACCAAAAAAAAAAAAAAAAAAGTCCAAATAGGGTTGTTGTCAAAATAAATGGGAACTAAATAAATAAATAAACCATCCTGTATTAAACTATATGTAACAAAGTTTTTCACTGTAACCATTTACGTGTACAGCTCAGTGGCATTTACTGCATTGACGCTTAGGCAATCATCACATCCATCCATCTCCAGATATTTTTCTTTATCCAAAACTGAAGCTCTGTAGTCACTGAGCAAGAATTCCTCATTCCCTTGCCCTTTCGACTACCCCTCTACTTTGTTTCTAGTCTACCTACCTCATATTGGTAGAATCATATAGTATTTATCCTTTTGCTCCTGAGTTATTTCCTGCGTTCATGTGACATGGTGTCTTCAAGGTCCATCCCATGTTATTGCATGCCGCTTGTGTCAGAATTTCCTTTCTTTTTTCTATTTTTTTCTTTTTGCAGTGCTGGGGATTGAACCCAGGCCTCATGTTTGCTGGGAAAGTGCTCTACCACTGAGCTATACCCCAGCCCCTCCTTCCTTTTTAAAGCCATTTAATATCCCAATGTATGTAGATAGTACATTTTATTCTTTTTTAAAAAAAATATTTATTTTTTAGTTGTAGTTGGACCCAAAACCTTTGTTTTTAGTTATTTATTTTTATGTGGTGCTTAGGATCGAACCCAGGGCCCTGCACGCGCTAGGAGAGCGCTCTACCTCTGAGCCACAACCCCAGCCTGTACATTTTATTCTTCACTCATCTGTTGATGGATGTTGAAGTTGTTTTTACTTTTTGACTTGGTGAATAATGCTGCTTTAAATATTGGTGTACAGTTCTCTGGTTTGATTTAAATTCATTTGGATATGTATAGAAGTAGAATTACTGAATCAGTGATTTTATGTTATTTGATTTTTTGTGTAGCACCGAGGATATGAAATTGCTGGGTCATATGGGAATCTCGTGTTCCTTTTTGAGGAACCACAGTGACTACACCAATTTACATTTCCACCAGCAATGCTTAGAAGATCCAGTTTTCCATATTCTCTCTAGAACTTGTTGTTTTCTGTTTTTCTTTTGTTTTTGTTTTGTCTTAATAATAACTGTGCTCGTGGGTATAAAGTGGTATAAATGGGGACTTTTCTACCTGGAAGAAAGAGACTGGGGGGGATACAGGTGCGTAGAGTTGTGAAGACTTCTGCCTGTATGTACAGATATGGTCACCAGAATCTAGGGATTAAGAATTTGGGCAAGAACCAGTGAAACCCCAAGTCATGTACAATCACAAGAATGGGATCCTAATTAGAATAAATTATGCTTCATGCATGTATAATATGTCAAAATACTGTCATGTCTATCTAAAAAGAACAAATAGAAAAAACAATCTGGGCAAGGAATACAGGCAGAGTATTAAATGGTGTAGTGTAGGTACTGACCAGTCAAGAAGGCCACCGGCCCTTTGCCTTCCTCATGTGTATAGGCTGTATAGGTCAGCCTGGATGGGACCATACTGGGCTATACTGCGGTTAATTTGAAATGATGAAAAAAGTGACTTCTCACTCCAGTTATATTGTCTCATAATGGGGACACAAGCTCAGATAGAAATAGCTTCTAGAATAATAAGTTTGGATACTTCACAAATGGGTGGTTAAAAATTTGAGAATTCTGTGTAATTTACCTCTTTACTTTTGAAGTTAACAGAGATGACTGTACCTCTGTTTTTACCTTCAGTTAGGAATTTGAAGCTCTCTGGACTCTTCTTGGAGGTCCTTGTGGCAATCACAGGGGGATGAAATTACTATTTCAGTTATTTAGCATTCAGCCAATATTTACAGTCCGCTTGTGCGCCAGGCCTGGCGATAAGTGCTAAGAATAGGATGGGGAGTTAAGCAACCCCTGTCCTTGTCCTTGTGGAACCATGGTCAAGTGGAGGAGTCAGATAACTGGTCACACAAAGAGATTGGTAATTCCTACTGCATCTGACTCCGTAAAGGAGAAATACTTGAGACACTTCTCTCTTTCCCCTTGGATTATTCACTCAGCCACTCAAAGAAATCTGCTTTCTTTTCTCTTCAGGAGCCTCCAAACAGGTGGCTTTGCCTGGGAGGGCGAGGTGGAGAACAACGCTTATAGCAAGGCTACCGGGGTGGCTCCCCAACACAAGTACCACCCCACGGCAGGCAGCTACCAGCTGCATTTTGCTCTCCAGCAACTAGAACAACAGAAACTTCAGTCCCGGCAGCTTCTGGACCAGAGTCGAGCCCGGCACCAGGTAATTCAAGACGAGCCCTTCCATGTGCTGTCTCTTCCTTCTATTGGTAAAAAAAGAGTGAACGGGCAATGTAGAGTTAACATCCTGAAAGGTTTCCAAAGCAGCTGGCGCGGATGGTTTGTAGGGAGTCTCCTCTCAGAACCGTTCTGGAACCGTAACATGGGCTTCACTGGAAGGTGATGTGGAACCATGCATGACCCGGTTCTTTCATTTGTGTGTACGAAAGTCCCTGTTGTAGTCTTTCCCCTTTCTGTTATGTGCTCTTAGTTCAGTAACTTGCCAGGGCTCTAATTCCAAAATACCTAAAAGCCAGTATGTTAAGCATCTTTCTTTCTAAATGTACTCTTTCTCTTCTTCCATAGAGTTGGTATACATATGTACATATTGATCCATCAAGGAATAAATAACTTAGAAATGGTCACAAGTTAGATTACCAGTCTTCTGTAAGTGACAGCTGTTTATTCAACAGATGTTTTGTCAAATGCCTATCACAGGCTAGGCAATGTTTTATTAAACAGTGGGACTTTAACAGGACCCAACACGCAAGCATCCTTGTGCTATGGAACTTAGAGTGAAATCTTCATTCCCTGCTCACTGTCTGTGAAATAACAGAAATCCCTGAGCATATGTGTGAGGAGCTGTGCAGTATATCACACTAATCTGTCGGCATGTCCCCAATCATTTAGAAGAAGAAGGGACTTACAAAAGGTCAGGTCACTAAGAATTAGCTTTGTCTTAATGATTCAGGATTATCATTAGAATCATTTACACGTTCTACAGATGTATTAAACTGAATTAATACTGATTCTGTAAGCTTCCCTATTTCCCTGTTTTAAAAAAAAACAGGGAAATAGGGAAGCTATTGATTAAAAAAATCAATGGACCTTTATTTTATTTATTTATATGCAGTGCTGAGAATCAAAGCCAGGGCCTCACACATGCTAGGCAAGCGCTCTACCATTGAGCCACAGCCCCAGCCCTCCCTATATTTTATGGAAAAAAAATACCTTCTATCAGTTTGATCTCTTATCACTTGCTTCTTTTTTTATAAAAATGTAGTTCATGGTATACATCAGTTAGTGCTGAATTAAGACTTATTCAATGATAAAGGAAGCATTTCCCCAAGGTTTTTTATCCTCTGATCCTCTAAGTGAATTAATTATCATTATGCCCTGTATCTTTACTTTTTTCATTACTATCCAGAATAACATAGAATTATTTAATTTTTTTCAACATAGTTCATCATATGATTACCTTTATCTCTGGTATTTACTCTGTAAATTAACACATCATAATTGAGAAATGATAAATTCAAACATTTGTGAAATAGTTCTTTAAACTGTTTTTTTTTTCTTTTAGTTGTAGTTGGACACAATACCTTTATTTTATTTACTTATTTTTATGTGGTGCTGAGGATCGAACCCAGTGCGCTCTACCATTGAGCCACAACCCCATTCCCTCTAAACTGTTTTTAAAGGAGAAATTTCCAGACTTTTCAATCTGGAAGTGTAGAATATGGCATCTCATTCTGATCACAACATTATCCTTTGCCATGTAGAAACTGCCTCATCTAGAAAATCTTTGGGACAGTAGAAGCACGTAAGCCAGTTTGCATTTTCACAATTGCAGATAGGAATGTGTGTACTAGTTTTTTGTTGTTGTTGTTGTTGTTGTTGTTTTAATCTGCAAACATTTCCTAAAGTGTTTTACACTTCCAAACTTCCTGTCATTTGAGTCCTTGAGAGTGCCACCTTGATCAGGTGCTGGATAGTGGAGACTTCACTGTTCAGCCTTACTTCCCTCGTGTGGCTCCAGGGAATACAGACAGTTGGTCCCTTTTAAGCCACACTTCAGTACCTTGAAATAGTGGACACTTTTTTTTTTTTTTTAAATGAAAGGAGATATTTTGCAGGACATTAAAGTTTGGGGGAAAGAGAGGCAGTTTTGCTGATTTTCACTTTGAGAAACTGCTTTACTTTTAAGTCCCTCTCATGCTTTTGATTAGCTTCCAGCAACTCACATTCCTTTGAAAATTTAGAGTACTGCTGTTCTTGTGTGGATTTTTTTTCACTGAGGATTACACTGGTTTAGTTTCACTGAATTATGAAGTATATGGAAAATATGTTTTTTAGAATCTGTCAGAATATCCATCTTAAGGAGGAGGCAGAACTCCCAAGAAGGGAGTTATCTCGTGTCTCCTGGAGAAGGAACAGAAAATCATTCATCATGATTTTATATATGTATATAACATCATTTTGTTCCTTCTCCCTGTTTTTCTAAACCACAACTGATTTAGGTAAGAGTGAGTAAGGGTGAAGTTTTAGGTCTGTGGGGAGAGCTAGAGAAACTAAATTCTGTGAGCTTAAGGAGTTTATAACTAATTAAATAGCAAATAAGATATTAAATGTTCTAACATGAAGTATATTTAGTAACTTAGAGCACTTTTTTTCAGAGGATATTTAGAATCACTCCACAGGAAAAAAAAAAAAAAAAAACGCCACTCATTTACATTTTTAAGCCTTTGGTTTTAGCTTATCTGTGCTAGACCCGCCTGAGAATTATCACCAAATTGTTGTTTTCATTCTGAGTCTGTCCTGTATTTCTGTCCTTGAGATAATCCTTTAGATAGAGATGGTACTTCTCTAATAAACTCCTTGCACATTGGAGTCACTTTCCTTGAATATAGGTTATAAAATTTGGTTAGCTTCCTGTTTCAGACTGGTGACCAGAATTAAAATCGAAGTTACCTAGCATCAGGCTGGGGATGTGGCTCAAGCGGTAACGCGCTCGCCTGGCATGCGTGCGACCTGGGTTCGATCCTCAGCACCACATACAACAAAGATGTTGTGTGTCCGCTGAGAACTAAAAAATAAATATTAAAAAAAAAAAAATTCTCTCTCTCTCTCTCTCTTAAAAAAAAAAAAAAAAAAGTTACCTAGCATCTATCTAGAAGAGAAACATGATTTTTTGGAACAGGATGTTAAGGGGGTCTTCTTGGATGGTATGGTATGGAATGGTATGGTGGTATGATATAGTCATTGTTGTTACACATAGTGCCTTGCATACAGTGATCTCCTGAATACGTTTGGGGAAATATCATGTGGCCTTTTTGGGGAAATATCATGTGGCCTTTCTCCCCATTATATGCAAAGAAATTCGCCCATCCTCTTCTGCCTCTAATCAGAGCACTTAGCTTTCCAGCTGGTTGCAAGTGTTCATGTCAAGCAGGCCCTCGGATTCAGGCTGTGAGTCTGAACATGGGCATCTCTGACCACTGATACAGAGTGAGTTTGGGTCTTCATCTCTATCTAGCATTGTGCTTACTCAGAAATACAGAAATAATCATGACCTGAATCCACCCCTGCAGAAGACTGAGCCTGTGACCTGGAAGTGAGAGGAAAGTAACACTGAGCCATTGGCAGAGGTATCCAAGGACAGATACAAGAAAATTGGGTGTGATCCAGTCCTTTTGATGAAGAGCATGATAAAGAAAAAAAAGACAAAACTGAAACTATGAGCTGTTATGCCCTGATGGATGAAACTTCAGCAATTTGAAAAACACTGTTTTAAGTCAATGCAGAGTCCATGACTTTTTCTGCAAATAGCCAGATAGTAAATATTTTAAGCTTCGTAGGACATAGGGTCTCCATTACAGCTACTCAATTCTGCCAGGGCAGAGTAAAAACAACCATGTACAATATGTAAACGAATGAGTATGGCTGTCTTCCAATAAAACTTTATTTACAAAAAAGACTGCAAGCTGGATTTTTCCTGCAGGCCCTACTTTGCAGACACCTAGTCTATAGCAACATCTACTTAAAGAGCTAGTTAAAACTAATCCCAGCTACTTGAGAGGCGGAGGCAGAAGGATTGCAAGTTTGAGGCCAGCCTCAGCAACTTAGCAAGGCCCTACTCAACTTGTCTCAAAATAAAAAGAGCTGGGGATGTGGCCTAGTGGTTAAGTGCCCTGGATTAAATCCCAAATACCAAAAAAAAAAAAATTAATTAAAATTTTAAATTAAATTTTCTTCCCTCAGTTATTTGTTTTCTGTCTTTTGGAAGGAAGACGGAATGTGTTAAAATTTAATGTCGCCCTTATAAAATATCAGGCAATCATTTTTATAGAACTTTGTTGCCATCTTTTTCACTTCATCGACCACAGTATCCTCGTAAATAAATTATCAAAATACCTCTTTTCTCATTCTTATCAGGGTACATTCTGCTCTCTAATCTCAGCTCCCAGGATTCAAGTCTCGGGGTGGGCAAGAGAGAAATAGCAGGACAGATTCCCTGCTGTTTTGTTAGTAACAAGCCAGTACTTCATAAGCACTTACTGCATCCCAAGTTCCTTTCCCAAGCATTGTTCTATTCTAGGTGTTGTTCATATATTAATTGATGTAAGATGAGTTTCAGGATGTTGGGGGGCAAGGCCAGAGTCTTGGTTGTTGGGGACCGCGAGGGGCTGCTATAGACTGGCACAGCCATCGTGTGTCGGCTCCTGCCCCGAAGGACAAGGCAAAAACACTCTTCTTTCAGCTGAGTCGGGGGCCCTGCTTGAGCAACAGTGACTACTGGTGACATCAGCATGAGTAGCTCTGCACGCTGGGGTCCGTGAGAGGCCCGGCTGACCTGATTCTAATTGCCGACATGGAGCTGATGTTATTCTTGGCGCGGGCCAGAGCGATTACTCAGTAGTTTCTGTTCAAGTGATCCTTTGTTACACTTGTGCTCCCAACCCATTCCCCACCCCCCACCCGGGCCTTCCCTCCCTCTCTTTTCTGCCTCATCCAGACCAAAGAAAGAGCCCAGAAAGCAGAAAATTAAGGACATTTTGATGGTCATGGTAAAACTGCTGGTTTCTTTGATTGACAACAGGGGAGAGAAGCGCTTTAAACCAGCTTAGTTCTTGAGCGGCTCTGTTCTCTTTCCAAAGCCCTTCAGTTTTTAGCAGACTTAATTTTCAGCATGAGTAAGGTGACTCAAGGTAGGAGAAAACTGCA